ATCCTCCCACCCTGATCCCGTGTTACTCTGAAACACATCAGCTCAAGTCAGTCCCTTCCTCAAAGCCCTCCACCGGCTTTCCAAGTCCTCATCACACCATCTGCCTAACCTTGCTCTCACACTGGCGTTCTTGCTCTTCTATCATGCTAAGCATCTCCTCCTAGAAGCCATTTCATTTGATGTTCTCTCAGCCTAGAGTAGTGAATATTAGTAGAATATAGTCTAGGATACTGGATATTGTTTGCCTCCCTACTTAAATCGGGTTCTAAAGTCTTCTTCCATAGGGATCCTCTTTGGCCCTGTCACTCTATCCTCGTATTCTGCTTTACTTAAAAGGGTCAATCCTGGGGCTGGCCCTGTGGCCGAGTGGTTAAGTTTGCACACTCCGCTGCAGGCGGCCCAGTGTTTCTTTGGTTCGAATCCTGGGCGTGGACATGGCACTGCTCATCAAACCACGGTGAGGCAGCGTCCCACGTGCCACAACTGGAAGGATCCACAACGAAGAATATACAACTATGTACTGGGGGGCTTTGGGGATAAAAAGGAAAAAAAAATAAAATCTTTAAAAAAAAAAAAGGGTCAATCCTGAAACCAGATTGCCTAGTTTGGAAAGTTGGCTTTACCACTTACTAGATGTATGATTTGGGACAAGTTAGTTAAACTTTTTCTGCCTCAGTTTCTTCATCAGTAAAATGGGGTAATATTGTTTAAAATAGTGCCCATCTGGTACCTGGGAAGAGTTCAATAACTTATTGCTTTTCTTCATAGTGCTTATCACAACCTGACGCTTTTACACATTAGTCTGTGTCCTCCACCAGAAAGTAAGCTGCATTAGGGCGAGACTTTGTTTGATTGATGACTTTATCCCTAGTTCCTAGACAGTGTCTTGGTATAAAAGACTTAAATGAATTTTTGTTGAGTATGAATGAATTTATTAAATGTTAAAAAAACCCATAAACTATTGAATTATATTATTTTCTTAAACAGACTTTCCATAACTGTGTGAATATTAATACTGATAGGTCTATGTACTGTACTGTCGCAGGAAGAAACCTCCTTGGCCTTTAAATTCAAATGGAAAATAACCATAAAGTGGAACAACATGCACATGAAAAAATCTAGTCCACTATACTGCATTATTGATCAGTTAAACCAAACTTAATATGTGATAACACCAGAGTACTAGGAGAAGAAATGCACTTAAAGTGCTTACTACAGTACCTAGCACATAGCACCTTCTAAATTAATAATTACTAGCCAACTATAGAAACACTTAAAAAAGAAAATGCGATATAGAAGTTAAATTATAATTAAGAAGATTTTGACAGTTGTATACATCTGTGTAACCACTACCCTGCTCTAGATATGGAATATTTCCATCACTCCAAAAAGATCCTCCCTGTCCCTTTTCAACAAACTCTCTGTCCCCCCCGAGGCAACCATGTGGTAGGTAGGACCCCACCAAAGATGCCCTTGCCCTAATTAATGCCCAGAACCTGAGACTGTGAGTATACCTGTTAATGTTACATGGCAAAAGGGACTTTGAAGACCTTGCGATAAGGAGATTATCCTGGATTACCCGAGTGAGTCCAATGCAACCACACGAGTCCTTAAAAGTAGAAGAGGAAGGCAGAAGAGTGGGTCAGAGAAAGATGCAACAGTAGAAGAGGCAGTTGAGACTTGAAGTATGAGGAGCACATGACCCACTGTTGCTGGCTTTGAAGACAGAGGAATGGCACCACAAGTCAAGGAATGCAGGTGGCCTTTATCACCACCTGCTGGGAACACTAGCAAAGAAACAGGGACCTCAGTCCTACAACCACAAGCACTGAATTTTAGCCAACAGCTTGAATTGAGCAAAGAAATGGATTCTCCCCTAGAGCCTCCAGAAAGAAATGCAGCCCTGCAGCATCTTGATTTTAGCCCAGTGAGATCCACACGACTTCTGACCTACAGAATCGTAAATAAGTTTCTGTTAAGTCAGTAAGTTTGTGGTAATTTATGACAGCAATAGAAAATTATTATGAACCACCGTCTGTGCTCTGTCACTAGATTAGTCATCTCTGTCCTGGGACTTCATGTGCATGGAATCATACAGTAGGAACTCGTGTCTGGCTTCTTTCACTTAACATAACGTTTTTGAGATTTGCCTGTATTGTTTGTAACAATAATTTTTTTAACTGTTGAGTAGTATTCCATTATGAATACACACATCTATTCATCCATTCTCTTGTTGATGGACATTTGGGTTGTTTCTGGTTTGGGGCTATGACAAATACATACATTCTTATACAAGTCTTTTTGTGGACACATCTTTCCATTTCTCTTGGGTAAATACCCAGGAGTGGAAGTGCTGGGTTACAGGGTAGATGTATCTTTAACTTTAAAAGAACTGCCAAACACTTGGCTGCATGATTTTACACTCCTACTAGCACTATGTGAGTTCCAGTTGCTCCATATCCTCACCACTTCACTGAACTGACCACTTAAGCTCTGTGCATTTTATTGTATGCAAAGTATATCTTAATAAAAATATCAGAAAATAAAAAAATGTAACAGAACACTATGTTTGTATACGCACAAAATAAGCAACTTTGAGCATCTGTGTCAGAAATTGTGCCGTGGTTACAAAGAGCAAAACAATTTGATAAAAATTTGATAAAATTTGATTTAAAACGATAAAAAATCTAATTTTATCTTTTTAATTGTATTATACACTACTGTTTACTAGAAAATTTTCCTTCTGAAAAATCACACTAAAAATGAACATTAGTGGTTTTATAATTGAACTCAGTTTGGCATCTATATATCATCTCTTTGTGTACTTAATTTGCATATAAATTGAGGATATAAAAAATACTTGTCTTAAAATGTCTATTTTAAGACATCTGACGTTGCTGATGGGAGGGTAAACCGTCACTATTTCTATGGAGTGTAATTTAGCAATATTTTTCAGATTTATAAATGCCCTAAACTCTTTGATTCTGAAATTCTGCTTCTTGGAATTTATTCTACATATTTATTTGCACACATGCAAAATGATGTTTGTACAAGTCTATTCACATTAGCATTGTCTATAATAGCAAAAGATTGGAACCAACTTAAAAAAACCCATCAATAGGATTACTAATGCAGCTGATAAAAATAATGGGGACGCTTTTTAATGTTTCAAGCATGGAATAATTTCTAAGTGGAAAATAATATATATATTTGCTTGTATATTCATAAAATATCTGGAAGGATACACTAGAAACTGACAAGTGTGGTAATGCCTAGAGAGGAGAGCTGTGTGTCTGAGTGAGAGAGAAGGGAGGCTTTTTGTCATTTACTCTCTTGAATTTTGGACCACGTGACCATTAATTAGTAAAAACATGCATCTCTGCATTAATATAGTAGATATTTTAGGGGACAATCATAATCTAAAGTAAAACCGGAATCCTTTAGTTAGAGATATCTACATATAGCTTCATTATTCTTCTGTTTAGAAAAGTTTAAAGATTTATCAATTATTATGTAAAAGGAAGAATAAATGTATATTATAAAGGATGTAAAGTTTATTCTAAGTGAAGACCACTTATTACCCAAATTGGTAATAAGGGAAAAGAACAGCTGATGAGAAGAGGAAGCGGAGAAGTTAGTACGTGTAGTAAAGTGCCACCACCACCCTTCTTGGGGCAAATGAACTGTTAAACAGGCTTCTGTTTGGGTATTATTTTGAACTTATTTGTACACTTAACATCTAGTTAATCTCTTAGGATGCTGATTTAAATAGAAAAAGACAAACTAATGAAAGCTACCTTTGAAGTCAGGTTTAAAATAATGTCAATTCCTCAACTTTACTTAGCCCTTTTCAACTTTCATTTTCACATACATTATTCCTTTTGCTCCTCATAACCCTGAGAATTTGAGATTTTATTCATGAGGGAAAAAAAAAAACATACCCAAAGAAGCTGATTTGCCTGAAGTCACATGGTTTAAATGAGCTGGAACCAGCACCCAGGTGCTCTCAATGCTGGAGTCTCCCTACTTTCTTCCTGCACCCCCTTAGCCTGCTGCCCTGCCCTTTCACTCTGAGAGCTCTATCACATTCATTTTTCTGCTGTTCATATGCCTTCTGAGGGAAATGACAATTTTAATAATGATGCAATATTTATTGTACCTATCTACTTAAAAAAAATTTAATGTACAAAAATTGCATTAAATCATCAATATGCAATTATTTCCCCACCACGCAAAAATTTTAATATGTAGATTTTGGACTAGAAAATGTGTAAAGAGAAGACAAGGAATATCAAAATAACTTATAACAAATTTCTAAAACCTCTCACATATTAAAGTTGGCAAGATACAAATATAATTCACAAGTTTGCCGTTGTGGTATAGATAAGAAAATAGTACCCATACTAAAATTAATTCATCCTACTTGTCAAAATTCCTAGTATAAAAATGAAAATATTCAGATGCTTATAAGCAGACAGATATTCAAAAATTTCTTTTGGAAAACATTCTTTAGTGTTCATAAAACTGTATATATTATTATATATCTATGTATCATAGTCTTTTCAGAATATACATTCAGTTTAAATTGGAAATGAAAAAGTATAAATTAGATATTACTAGGAAGTAGTTATAAGGTATTTTGATTTCATAGTGCCAAAGTGTTCACGGACAAAATTTACTTATTAAACTTTAAAATAAATACCTATTCTTTGATATTTCTTACATATCTACACGTTCCAGAAATTTAAAAAAATAGTTACATCTATAGACAGAAAATTCAACTCTGAGTGGACAGTTATTTATGATTCTCTCAACGGGCTGCTCCCCACCGGGTGGAGCTAAATGAAAAGACCGAAAGCCTGGCGCAGCTTGGATACCTGCCTGATGCACAACAAGAAATAGAATATTCTACCTTAGAGGAAGAAGACAAGTGATTGAGTAACATGCACACAACTTAGTATAAGCTCTTTACCCTAATAAAGTAATTATTCATTTGCAAATATTACCAAAAGTAAAAAAATTTATTTTACAGAGTGGTTGGTTTTTGTAATACATCAAACACTGTAATGTTATACTTCCCTATTCTCACTGTTTGTCTCATTTCAGTGGTTGAAGTTTCTCCCAAATAATTTAGTTTACATTTAAAGTGGTAATACAGCTTTTACTTAATGGATTTAAATTATAATTAGAAACCAGTTTTATATACAGAAAATCCATAAATATAGAACTTTTATTCCCATTTTATCCTAGGGCTATGCAAAAAATTGACTAAAAATTTTTCTTTTGGGTCTTTGTAATAAACATGTAAATACATTATTTACATTGGAGATGCTTTCTGACAGAAAGTAAACACACAGAAGTAATTTGGGTCTTCACTAGAATCCATCATGATATGCTCATTTTCAAAGATGATGCGCTACATTGTGTTCACTCAAATTTCAAGATTTCTGTTATAATTCAAATAATTATTTTACTTGTACAATTAATGCTTCATTCTGTATTTAAAGGTCCTTTAAGAAAGATTCCTTGATCCAATAGTAAGGAGCTTTAAAATTTTTTTTAAATATGGCAAAAAGTTTCTGTACAATTATTTTCTTCCTTCTGGCAATATTATAAACACTGAGTCCTTTAATCTTCACTGTTTCATACTCCAGCTGTGATTCTCGAGTTCCCTCACATGATGTAAGTACCATCTCTGTAGCATTTCATGGACTCCATTTGTTTTGTCATAGCCAGAACATCATGAAATCCAGTACTCAGGCCAGACATATGCTGAAAGTACGCCTCTTTTTCCACTTGAATTGTTAAATTGTTTACTCCAGCATCTTTAAGTATTCCTGTAACCTGTTATAAAAATCCATACATTTTAGTACATACATCTTAAATAACTGATACCACATTTTTTTTTATAGCTACAGATAGTCAAAGATGTATCCACAAAGTAATGTTTATTACTTAGTTGGTCAAACGTTAGGATGTTTTAGAAGGCCAGTAAATTACTGACCTGACATTCAGAGTAGAAAAGGAAAACAGACATTCCAATTTGCTATGTCTAGAGTAGAGATACAGGACCTATTTTGATCCTTATCTCCAACCATAGCATATACCCTACCAATTTTGTTTTATTATTATTAATTTAGGGCTATATTTATAATAACCTATTTCTGGATAATCTATTGGGAACCAAGGTAGACCATAAATTAATTTTTTTACATTAACTTAAGCTTGTCCTGTAAATACTAAAACTCTATTTTATTTTTTTATAACAGTTTTTATTTACTTATTTATTTATTTATTTTTGAGGAAGATTAGCCCTGAGCTAACATCTGCTACCAATCCTCCTCTTTTTGCTAAGGAAGACTGGCCCTGAGCTAACATCCATGCCCATCTTCCTCTACTTTATGTGTGGGACACCTGCCACAGCATGGCTTGCCAAGTGGTGTGTAGGTCTGCACTCGGGATCCGAACCAGTGAATTCCGGGCTGCTGAAGCAGAACATGTGAACTTAACTGCTGTGCCACCAGGCCAGCCTCGACTTGATTTTTTTTTAACCATTTTTGGATATAAAACAAATTTAGATGTAAAAAATAAGTTACATTACCCTTTGACAGCTGAAAGATTGATACTTTTGAACAATTAAATGACTGTTGAGCTGTATAACTTATAATGTATGCAATTTTACACATGAATAACCTCAACTGAAATTACAAAAGATTATTACCTGCTGTACTACTCTTTGTTCCAGCACATCGGATGTCACCTGTATATGAATTGTTCCTGCCACAACACTGGCAGAATGACGCCAAAAATGAGGGTCTCGGTATGAAATTAATCCTTCAATTTTCTGTATCTGTCAAGTAAAAGGAAAGGTGATATAAAGGACTTAAAGGCTAATTTACTTAACACAAAGCAATCTTTTTGGTCCAGGAGCCACTATGAAGCTGATTAATGAAAAAAAGATAATAAGGAGAGCCCAGAAGTGAGAAAGGAACAGGAGAGGGACAACTAGCTTAAAGTAAAGGCGCCTAAAATATTCTGACCTGGGAGAGATGCCAGGGAGGAAGCTCTCAGTAGGAAGTGAATGGAGCTGACAAGTGTCTTTACACCCAACAGGTGCACACCTATATAAGATGTACTTTGCCTCTCCTAAACACTAGAGATGCTCAACGAACTACATGGTTTCCTTACATTCATATACACCTTCACATATTGGTTTTTTTTTCTGCTTTTTCTCCCCAAATTCCCCCAGTACATAGTTGTATATTTTAGTTGTGGGTCCTTCTAGTTGTGGCATGTGGGACGCCACCTCAACATGGCCTCACGAGCAGTGCCATGTCCGCTCCTAGGATCCGAACCAGTGAAACCCTGGGCTGCTGCAGTGGAGCGTGTGAACATAACCCCTCGGCCACAGGACCAGCCCCTTATTTGTTATACAGAGTAAACATACTCAAAAGCTATCTTCCATGTTCAACAAAAGAGGACTGGTTAAATAAATGATAGACAACCCATACAATGTAACACTACAGTGTCATGAAAAACGTATTAGAATAATTATCAACATGACATAATTAAGTGGGGAAAAATTTATAAAAGAGTTTTTTGCCATTTTTATTTTCAATATATTTTTATATAGAAAAACAACTTTTAAAAGTTGTCTTTCCAGTTGGTGAAATTATATGTGATTTTTTCCCCCTTTTTGTTTTCTGTAATAGACATATATTATTTTTGAAATAAAAAACTTTTTTAGTAGGATGTAGTATTCACTAATTATGAGAAAGTGAGAAAACTTTATGAAAACCGTGGATTAAGATGCTATACCTTAAATATACAAGATGCCAACTTTTCATCAGCAAATCCTAATTACTTATCAATACATGGCAAACCAAAAGCTGAAAAACATTCTATTTTGTATTTGTTTTTTCTATGAACTGCCTGTTTATATAACCAATCGATCCTTCTATAAGCCTGTCTTTTTCCTGATTTAAAGGATTATGGATAGTAGCCTTTGCCTGTTTATGTATGCTGCAAACATTTTCTCCTGCTCTGCCTTTTCTACTTCATATTTGCTAACAGGATCTTTTGCCAATGGACAATTGTCAGTTGGTCCAATCTGTAGATTTACTCCCTTTCTGGCTTCTGGTTTCACTTCAAGCTTAGTAAAAAGGCTTTCCCTACCTCTGTGACTCTAAAAGTAATATTCTATTTTATTTTAGCACTTTCATAATTTGTCATTTACCTGTTTAAGCCAATGGAAATATATTTTTATACGGTATGGTATAGAGATACAGTTTTTCTTGTTGACCAAGCAGAAATATTAGTTAGGTCAACCCTCTCTCACCACTGATGTGAAATGCTATCTTTGCTTTATGCTAAATTCCTAAGTACCTGGGTCTGTTTTTGGACAATCTGTTTTTTTTTTTAATTGATTTGGGTGTTTATTCTTGTGCAAAGACAAAACTATAAGTTCTGTTAGTAAATTCTGTAACTTTATAATCACAAAATAGGACCTTATTAGTTAATACTGTAAATTTATGTATTTTTTTATTCTCAAGCATTGTCTTATGTAATACTGGATTATCTATCCTCCCCCAAAACAAAAACAAACAAAACAGAAAGCTCCTAATGAGAGGCAACTGCATTGAGAGTTAGATGAAAGAAAAGCACTATCTTCACAATAGTTTCCCATCCAAGAGAATATCTCCATTTATTCAGTCCCTATTTTATATCTTTTAAGTAAAACTGTATTTTCTTCATATCTTGCACATTTCTTGTTAGGTCAACTTACTCAATTTCAAATACTATTTTAAAAGGGAAAAAATAGTGAAGAAATTACACATACTACCTTTTCTAAAGCACTATGTAGTTCTCTTTCGTATTCTGGCGGCAGTCTCAGAAGCAGAACTTGACAGGCATCTTTAATCAGTGGAACCACACTGAGAAATATTAATATGGCAATAAAAAGAGAACAGAGTGGATCAGCAATGAACCATCCAAACTGCTCTATAAGAACTGTGGATACAATCACACCAATACTGCCAAGTGTGTCTGCCAAAACATGTAGAAATACACCTAAAAATAAAATATATAAAAATATTAAAAATTAAAGCACATCTAATTTAGTTCTTTTATGCATTCTACAAATATTACTGGGTACCTACTACGCACCTGGCACTCTCCTTGGGGCTGGTACTTCAAAATGACTAAAACATGGTCACTGACCTCAAGGAATTCATGCATAGTGGTAAAAGGGTAAGGATGTGCGCAACTATAACACAGTATGGTGAGTTTCATGATGGTGTGGTTTGTCTGCGAAGGCTTCCCAGATATCATACATGAGCCAAGTTTTGACATTACCCAAATTACTTATATTAAACAATCAGAATAAATAATTCAATATAAGAAGTGATAAATATCTCCTCCATATTTTTTTTACAGTACAGTACGATCTTCCTGGTTCTTTTGTAGTCAAAGTTCATAACGGCACACTCAGGGTTTCCCTTCCAAGTAATATTTATGCCACTGTCACTATGAAAAGGACTCTATAATTACTATAATCTATTTAAAAATTAATATTTATGAACAAACATAAGCATTTTCTACAGCATGTGACTTCAGACCTTTTTTTAGCCACAGACTGTTTTTCAAAAATAAAACTGTACCATAAGCCCAATATTTAATACAAACAGTGTGAATTCAAACACAGTTGAAAGGTAGGATAATACTTGGCAAGGACTCACCCCTCATGTTAGCATTCATGCCTCTGCCTGCAGATCCGTGGCTGTGACCGTGCCCATGGTCACTGTGTCCATGCATATGGTGTGAATGGCTGTGATCAGACGAGTGACAGCTTCCTTGAGAAGCTCCATGGGTATGGTTGTGGGCATGGCTAAAGGCACAGATACCAATAAGGTTTACTATCAGCCCTCCAACTGAGACTGGCTAGCAAAAGGGAGAAAAGAAAACTTTTAAATTTGTAATTTAAAAAATAAATTTGTTATTTAAAAGTTACTATATAGCTATATGTTTTTCTGTTTACAGTTTTGAAAGTATTCATAGTAAAACCTAAGTTCAATAAGTAAATCCAAGATTTAAAAAAAATGCGAATTTTAGAAGAAACATTTTAACTTTCAAACACCAAAGGTGTTGACAAGAAGAGGGATTTGGACTTGCTTTAATTAAGTGATTAAGAATAATATGTACTTGGTTCATGGCTTATAAATAAATAAATGATGCTAAAGTTTTGTGTTATTTATTTAAATAAAGAGTTTGAAAGTACTGCTTACTAGAGCCAAGTATGCACTGTACCTAAAATCTCATTTATATTACGAGGTAAATTTCAACAGTCTGTAAGGCAATGATTATAATTTACCACTAGTGAATTCCAAATAAATATAGTCTTATTGTGTCTTAATATTTCCTGAAGTAGGGGCCAGCCCAGTGGTGCAGCGGCCCAGGGTTCGCCGGTTTGGATCCTGGGTGCGGACGTATGCACCGCTTGTCAAGCCATGCTGTGGTAGGCATCCCACATAGAAAGGAGAGAAAGACTGCCATGGATGTTAGCTCAGGGCCAGTCTCCCTCAGCAAAAAGAGGAGGATTGGTGGCAGATGTTAGCTCAGGGCTAATCTACCTCAAAAAAAAAAAAAAAATTTTTCCCAGAGTAAAAAGAGTATAATGGAAAAGCAAACATATAGTGGTAATCTCCCTTTTCTTTTTTTTAACAAAGAGAATAGAATTATCTTGATCTAATGGTGCTACAATAACACCCCAAAGGATAAACCAAGTTATTTACCCTTGATTATCCTCTCTTACAAAGTAATTTTGAATAGTACTTCAGGGTGTTATTTAATTTACATACATCTACAATTTCTCCTTTAGAGAAATCAATTTGTTTTGTAAAAAGAACATATAAAAATAAAGGGAGACAGATAATTTTGATTAATTTTCCAAGGCAGTAAGACAGGAGATTTACTTTAGTAAACACGTATGGAGCTTATTTACTTCTTGCAACTCACACCATTAGTCTGTCAGATTTTAAAATTTCAGTTAGCTGTATGAACTTGAAGATGGTTAATGAATTTTTAATGAAAGCAAATACTGCTTACAGAGACTCCATCACCTCATAAATACTCCTTCTCCCCGACTCAGAAATACTTTAGCTTTATATATTTCATCAGAAAAAAAAAAAATAATGTAGAAAGTGACAGTCCCCTATAATTCTACCTCCAAGGGTTAGTCACTCCTAAGAGAATGATGTTATTTTCCATGCACATACTAACACATATACCTATACAACTTTTTAAAACAATAATAGGATCATATTAAAATACTGTTTTAGGGCCAGCCCAATGGCATAGCGGTTAAGTTCACACGTTTCACTTTGGTGGCCCAGGGTTCGCCAGTTCAGATCCTGGGTGCAGACCTATGCACCACTTGTCAAGCTGTGCTGTGGCAGGTGTCCCACATACAAAAAGTAGAGGAAGATGGGCACACATATTAGCTCAGAGCCAGTCTTCCTCAGCAAAAAAAAAAGAGGAGGCTTGGCAGCAGATGTTAGCTCAGGGCTAATCTTCCTCAAAAAACAAAAAACCCCAAAATAACAACAACAACAAAATAAATAAAATACTGTTTTGCAATTTTTTTCTTTAGTACATCTTATAAATTGTTTCATGCCAGTATATGTATATATACCTCATTCATTTTAATAGCTGCATAGTATTCTATGAATGACAAATTTATTTAACTAGTCCTTTCATTGGTGAACAATTCGTTTGTTGTTTTTTACCATTATAAACAATGGACCTTTACACACCTGTGCGACTATTTCTGTATTAAATATTAAAGGTCAAAGGCTATGAACATTTAAAATTCAAAATATATTTCCAAACTGTAATCCAAAAACACTTTACTAATATATGCTTCCACCAACAAAACTTGTAACTGCTTTTATTCATTCAACAATTAATTGCTGAGTTCCTACTACAAGCCAGGTGCAAGAATTTAAGAGTTAATGATACACAATTCAGGTCCTGAAGATACTTCCCTTAAATCTTTAACTGTGAAAGAATGACAAATTAAACAACAGTTATAACTCAATGTTGCTAAAAGAAGAATGCAGAAGATACGATGGGAATATTGAGAAAGGGCAATCTAACAAACTTTGAGGAGGGAAGACAGGGGTTACGGGAAAATATCCCACCAGAGGAGCAAAGTCTTGAGGAAGCCTGAAAGGCACAGGTGAGGGAAGGGCATGCCAAATACGAGAAATAGCACATGTAAAGGTTTAGAGGTACAGGGTGAACACTAAAAGCTGCTATAGCAATAATACAATCTATTGAATAAAGCCCTTAAAATTCTATTTTTCTAATTCTATCTCTAACATTTTGCAAATTTCCTCAGGTATTTAAAAAATACATCTTCAAACAAAAACATTTAAGTGAGAAAGAAATCTATATGTTTTGAATGTCATCTAATATTTCAACTACTAAAATATTAGTGAAAAGGACTAATTAATTTCTAACAGTCAGCAGTGTAAATGTAAATAGCAAGACAGGAAGTTACGTTGATTTAAATAAAAAATAAAATAAAACCTTCTTAGATCACTAACTAACTTTAGCATGGACAAAGCTGTATGAGTATGAATAGAAATTCAAATAGGAAAATAAAGAGACTTACTGTTAACATGTGTGTGTCTAATTCTGGAGGATCAATTAATCTAGCCACTGACTCCATAAACACAAAAAATGCTATTACCATTAGAAAAAGTCCATTAATAAATCCAGAGAGAATTTCTATTCGGCCATACCTAAAAACATAGAATACGTTTTTAGAAGAAAAAGAAAATGACAAGTATTATTAAAGCATAATGATTATTACATTACAACTAAGGAAGCAAGATCAGATTTTCGACTATATAAAATAGTAAGATTAGAACGTTACCAAGATTTTAACGTCATACTAATGCTGGAAGGTTCTTTCTGTACATATATGTTTACGGAAATTTTACATATTTATCAAAGTCCTTCTTCAATGTTTCTTTTTACACAAAGCCTTTCCTAATTTCTTAGCAAGAAGTTATTTCTCTCTCCTTTAAGCCCTTGATGTGTTCTGTATCTCTGTCACAGCACACAGATTCTGCTTTGTACCAAAATTATTTGTATTTTTTGGCTCATTCATTTTCAAAATATAAACAGTTGAAAATAAGAGCTGAATTTATTAATCTATTTAGAGTAGATCTTATCAAAATACCTTGGACAAATCAGGGATTCTAGCATTTACTGAATTGAACTATTCACTTAATGCAAGGATATGTTATGTACAGCCACTTCGAATTTTGAATATTCTTTCTAACAGCAGATGTGAATGATCACGCCCATTCCATTACCTCAAAGAAACACATTAGGCAAAGACCTGAATATTTAACTGACTTTGCTCCCTATTTATAAGAGGGATTTATCAGGGAGTATAATCTTGAGCTTACTGTCATTTAGTATTTATCAAACGCTTGGTTTATTTTCTCTTATCTACTTCAAATAAAAGAAAAATGAAGCTCTGGAAAATTACTTGTATTAAAATAAAATTTTATTCTTTGCATTTAAGATTTTTCACTGTGCTGTATTACCTCGAGAATCAGTGTACCTACCCATAAGAGAAAATCCGAGTTGCTTTCCACCTACTCATCAGGGCCGCAAAAAGTCCCATGACCAAGGCAGAGCAGTCGAAGAGCATGTGAAATCCATCTGAGATCAGACCCAGACTATTGGTCAACACGCCATAGAATAATTCCACAAAGGTAAAAAGCTAAAATATGTTTAAAAAAAAAATAGGGGAGGAGTGTGTGGGGAAATACTGTTTCAAGAGAGATTTATCAGAATTTAATCAAAGGATTTTAACCCTTACTTGAAGATATGATTTAACTGCCTCTTTCATTACTTAACTGACACTTATACAAGAAGCCTCATTTCATATAAACTGTAAGAAACTAAGTCAGATATGTCCAACTTATAAATTAAAAGGAGACAGTTTTATTCACATGTCTATAGAACTCAATAAAACTAAGCTATAAAATGTTAGCAATCTGGTCTGTAGTGAGATCCTGTAAAGAACAGATAAAAATCTTTAGAAGCTACTATATTTACTGATTTGAAATAGCACACTAAACCAACGCTTCTGAAATGCCTCAAAAATTGTTTACTTAAGTAATCTGAATATGATCCTGTAATCTTTCTACTACTTAAAGAAAATGGAATTTTAGCTCATCTCTAATTACCAGAAATTTGGGAATTACTAAAATTATACCAGAACTGTCAAAATTTAAAGATTAAAGCTTTTAAAATATGCCATTAATATTTAAAAATCTTACCAGATTCAAGCACAAGAAGTAAAAGATCTGCCTAGAGTCATTCTCCTCAAGGATTTGTTTTAGTGATTCCTTAATAAACCTAGGAATCGACTGCGAGCTATGTTGAAAAGCATCACCCATGAAGTTATAAAGAGGTGTTCCTTCAGGAGAGTATCCAATTAGGGTACCTTTCTGTCCTCTCTTAGAAGGAGATGATAAGATGTTGGCAGCTAAAAGGAGGGGAAAAAAAAGAATATTACAGAAGTTTAAGCTACCAAAAACCAGCACAGTATCCGTAAGCACTAAATGCAAGTATTGAACAAATTCCCAAATTAAGTAAGTGATTTGAACATCAGAATCTATAAGAAATTTGCTAAGGGGAAAATGCTTACACAAAATGAAGAATATAGCGCTCACTACCACTCCTCCAGACAGGACATGTTCAGTGCTCTCCTGATGTGTTGCTTTGTTCATGGCCCGAAGCTGGTCTGTTATTGGATGTGTCCAAAAATTTCCAAAAAGTAGAGCACTAATAAAAATGGGGAAGGATCCATAACGGGCACATTTGGAAACTTCCATTTTGACTGAACAAATGGAATCGACATAGAAATCCAGGATCATGACAAAAAAGATAACCGTTGTAAAAGGCATAATGAGAGAAAACCAAGACTCAACTTTACTCTAGAAATAAAAAAAAACAAAACTGTCAATACTATATGTATATAAAGTTCACGTTTTAATTAATTCATTTTTGTATAAACAAATATTCTCATGATTCAATATGATTCGTAAAATGGCAAAATATAAGAGCTATAAGATATTGGCACATTTTCCCAGTATTCCCCAAAGTATTGAAAAACAAAAAGCATTATCACCTAATAATTTTATAAATACTAGGTGAGCCACAATCACTGTGCCTAACACATGGTAGGTATTAAATTCTTTCTTTAACTGGTTCCTTTGGGTCATAGGAATGAGAGGGACATATAAATGTAATAGTACTTGATTTGTATTTTCTATAAACAATAAAATTAACTCAAAAATTTTCAAAAGCTACAAGGAAAAGGAAAGATAATTTAACCCTCTTGCAACCTCAAATTGAAATAAAATACAACGTACTGAACTAAAATTCGTAAGTAATAGCAATTCATTTTACTTATTACCAATACATTTCTGCTCTTACCTCAGTTGTCACAGAAAGAACAATGACCCACGGGCACAAGAGAAGCACAGAAACAACATGGGATAAAGCTTGAAGACGTTTGGCTCCACCAACATCTATAGAGAGTTTTCTGGAAGCTGTATGAAAACCAACTTTACAACACAAAGCCAGTACTAGCAACAATACTCCACCCTGTGATTGAAATTAGATAAGTCTCATTAGAAACACACAGTCCAATACTCAACCCTTAAATACATACTTGAAGAAATGGAACTAGTATGTTTTTCCATATCCCAAATTACTCAATTAAATGGCAAACAGTATTGTAAATCACTGATAATTTATTTTAAATGCACTTCTGCAGTTATAGTTGCTGTAACTTTTCAGAATCTCTTGATCACGTTAGGAGCAAAGACAAGAACATACCTTGTGGTCTGCCACACCTAAGAAGGCAATGGCTGTGTAAAGCATGTGAGTTAGAGCACTGTCATGATGTCCTTCAGCTAATGGACTGGGAGTAAGGGAAAAAATTCCAAATAGTAATTCTTTGAATCCTGAAGTCCTCCTGGAATTTTAGCTACATTATTTTGGGTTGACTATAGACTAGTCTGGGAGCCCCAAACTTGAGTACCCTCAACAATATGTTTCCCCTTAAAAACAAAACAATTTACAATTTAATTTTGGGACATGATTTATAAATTGGAACAGGCTGTATTCCTTTTGTTGTCTCCAAAACAATTACAACAGTGCCTAAGATACAGTTGTTAAATTTTAGTACTTAACCTCCAAAAGACATATGCATACATACTATCAGTAAGACAAAGAAACAACAGCAAGGAATTTTCTTGGACCACTCCTATCCAATGCCCTTCTAGAATGACAAGTAAAATCAGTCTTAAATCTTTTTCAAAGTCACTGATCACAGAAGCCTCAGCAAAGCAAGAAGCAAGCAAAAGAGGATGGGTGGAGTGGGGGGAGGGAACAGTTGTATCACAAGCAACCTGGAGTTCTGCAAAGTCATGCCACCCTCTTTCACTGTAACAAAGTAAATTATTATTAAGTAACAGGTTTTAGGGCAGGGAGTATCAGTAACCAGAAGAATCAAAACTGGTGTTCTGAGGTCTGCTAAACGCAGTGGGCAAAGGCACATGGCTAGGAAAGAACACTGCATGTCTGTAGAGGAAAAGGAGTAGACATATTTGACAGGAAAGTTGGGTATATATAGGAGAAGAGTGAGGGCTGAGCTGGAAATAATTTAAGAGCAAGAGAGTGAATATCGGATTAAGGAATCTGAACTTTTTCTTTCAGGCAAGAAGATGCCAAAGGTTTTTCATTTAATCTCAAAGAGGTTTATATTTAATAATTGCCACTGCCTTCTAAAATGAGCATTTAAATTGCTAAAGTATGAACAAATAAACTGATTTTGTTGAGTGGCAAATCATCCACTGTTTTTTTTTTTTTTTTTAGCACCAGGACATTCTAAAACATTCTTTCATTGCTGCTAAATTTCTGAAAATTTCAGGTGCTGTAGAAGATATTGAGATGCTATAAAATATTTAATTCAGAATGAATTTATTCTTTATTTGAATACTGACTTAGAATACCTACATTAATCTATGAAAGTTTCATCTGTGATTGATCAGTTTAATTGTTACCCCTTCTTTTCCCATCTGCCAGTCTTCTATTTTTCTGCCGGACTAAATAATTCCAATCTATTGCAAAAGGATACGGTGTTCAGCCATTTTAGCCATGAGATCATCATTGTCGAAAAGCAATAGGCAGATCACAGCAATAATGAAAAAAGCAGCCCCCCTTGTCTGAAAATGAAGAAAATAATACTAAGGATGGCTTTTTCAAGAGTTGATTTTTAAGACCATGACTATGCAAATATTGAATAAAAAATCTTTTTCAAATAAACATCTAAAGAAAAATAAATCTGACATTAAAATCTTTATACTATACAATACAAATTTATAGTATTAACACTAAGATATAAAAGTAAAGAGCTACAACAGGATATTTTAAGGGCATTTAAGACACATAATGACAACTTCAATTGTCTCCTTGCTAATATGGCTAGGCATGTTACCATGCATAAACTGTTAATGTTTACAGAATTAACCTTCCTAAATGTTACTTTGCTTCTGGTTGAAAAGCCCAAGTAGCTAAAGCTAAAATAATTAGTAGGGACTTATATTTTTCAACAACATGCAAGCGATGGAGAAGACAATTTACAATAGTATTGATATTCTAGTTAGCACTTTTCTAGGAAAAAAGAACGAAGAGGGCATATTAAGAAAACTAGCTAAGTCATTTCTAGTATCTAGTAAAGATATAAAGCATTTAAAAGCTGATAAATTTTTAAGTCTATGTTCTCATTCCAGGGAAAGAATTTTGAAAAAAGAAAATTATAGAAAGGACACACTAGCCTAGTTTATGCAAACACTTCAGAATTTTGGGTATAAAAGCCATGTAAACAGCACTTTTATACAATCTATATTTACAAATTTACAGGTAGGATACCAGATACTTTCATTAAATAGAAGTTTAAAACGAAAAGTGAGGATTTCATTCATTAGGTGATTACCACTACATGTGATACATTCTCTGTTATTCTGACAAAAGTCAGTATAAATAAACCACACATTTTAAAATTTCATTATTTTCACTGAATTAGGATATGGCAACATCAACAACACTCAAATACTGAGAATATAATTTAATCTTTTGTTAACAAAGAGTGGCAACTGAGAATTTTGTAGTGCTTCAGAGTCATAACAAAGAAAACAAAATCACTGAGTCGTGGATAGATGCCCAGACTCATTATTGATACTAATGAGAGGACATGCAAGATCTAGACTCTCATTTCTATTATTAGTGCAGCAAAATTTTTGGTTTTTTAATGTTTTAAAGTCATTGATAATTCTTCTGTGAGCTGTCTTTCCCTGTCTTTCGCTCATTTGTTGAAGATCTTAAGTATTTTTCTTACCTGATTTCAGTACGTTTATATTTTAAAATACATGCAAAACCTTTATTTGTGGCAATATTTTATTGTTGTTTGTACAATGATTTCTGTTACATAAAAGTCTGTAAGCATTATGAAGTCAAATGTACTGAGTTTTCCCTTTGTGATTTTTTTCCATTTCTTTTATGCTCAGAAAGTTCTTCGCTGCCCACAGATTAGTTATCAATCTGTATTTTACTCTATGTTTTTACAAATATCTTTTTCTTTAACCACATAACTCTTCAATCCATTTGACATTTATTATGGAGCACTCTACAGGGAGGGGAAAGGCTGAAACAGTGGCATGTGCTTAATACTAAGGATACAATGTGAAATCTACAAGCTGGGTAGTCTCTCTGCTCTCCTTAGCATGTTACTTTGTTCACTTTATTTTTTTCATCTGCCTCCATTCTTAGCCTGAAAGCCCCTTCCAGAACAGGGACTATTATACTTTATTTTTCTTTATTTCTCCTTTTCCCTGTAACTAGGACAATGCACCATGCACAGGAAGCATTTAATTTGGTAAAACAGAAATACTGTAGTCCTAAGAATTTGGAATTGTAGATTGGTGACTCATTTACCAAAAGGGGATAGTACTTAAATTACTTAAGGTAAATAGGGTTGCCTAGTTGGCAAAATGTTGGATAAATGTTCATCAGACTTTACTTATAACAAGTTTTTAGGTATGTTCAAAAAAGAATGAGGCAAGAGAGGGGTTCAGGTACAGCATGAAGGAGATCTTTGTGATAATCACTTCTGCATCTTGATTGCAGTGGTGGTTACACGAATCTATACACACACACACACACACACACACACACACACACACAGTGTATGAAAACTGGTGAAGTCTGAATCATGTCTATGGATTGTACCATTGTCAATTTCCTGGTTTTGATAGTATACTTGAGTTGGGTAGAAGTTACCTTTCCGTATTATTTTAAAACTTAAAATTAGCAGAAAAAGCCCCTGTATTCTTTTAAACGCTAAAAGATACTATATACTTTGGATCATATTTTACATGTATACTTTCAATTTTCAAGTAACTAGTAATGGAAAATTCTACCTTTGCTGGTCCTCCTCCAGAACTAGTGAACAAAACACTGAGTAGTGAGATGACAACAATATCACTGTGTTCAAATAGCAGCAAAGTCCTACAAAAATAAACCATTATTATTCATGAAATATATCTGATCTTTATCAGGAAGCATGACATGAATTCAACTAGAGTAAGAGAAAAGAAAATAAATATCTCCCCTTGATTTCATAAAACATTATGAAAAAATAGGTACAACAGCTTTGAAAACTATTTTGGCATTATCTACCTTAGACAGGCTGAAGCTACAAACACTCAACAATACTACCTGTAGGATTCTATCACACAGATTTCTTGTATACATGTACCAGGAAACACTTCTTTTTTTTTTTTAAAGATTTTATTTTTTTTCCTTTTTCTCCCCAAAGCCCCCCCAGTACATAGTTGTATATTCTTCGTTGTGGGTCCTTCTAGTTGTGGCATGTGGGACGCTGCCTCAGCGTGGTTTGATGAGCAGTGCCATGTCCGTGCCCGGGATTTGGGCCGCCTGCAGCAGAGCGCGCTAACTTAACCACTCGGCCACTTAACCACTCAGCCACGGGGCCAGCCCCAGGAAACACTTCTAAGACTGCTCATACGAGCATTGTTTGCAGTAGGCCCAAACCAGAAACAACCTAAATGCCCAGTGATAAGAGAGTAGATAATACAGAGTATATCCATTCAATGGATTATTGTACTGCAGTAAAAGTGAATAAAATTCTAAGAATACTAGAAATACTGAATTGTACACTTTAAAAGTTCTATCAACTGAATGTCTGTCCCCCCAAATTCACATGTTGAACCCAATCCTCACTGTGATGGTATTTGGAGGTGGGGCCTTTGGGACGTATTTAGGTCATGAGGGTGGAGCCCTCATGAATGGGATTAGTGTTCTTATAAAAGAGACCTGCCAGAGACCCCTCACCCCTTCCACCACGTGAGGGCATGGCAAAAGGGCACCAGTTATGGACCAGGAAGAGGGCCCTCACCAGAATGTGAACATGCTGACATGCTGACACCTTGATCTTGGACTTCCCAGCCTCCAGAACTGTGAGAATAAACTTCTGTTTTTTATAAGTCACCCAGTTTATAGTATTTTTGTTATAGTAGCCCAAATGGACTAAGACAGACTGAATTTTATGGTATATCAATTATATTTCAAAAAACTGCCATAAAAATGAAGGCAGCCTGGGGTTCGACGGTTCGGATCCCGGGTGTGGACATGGCACCACTTGGCAAGCCATGCTGTGGTAGGCGTCCCACACGTAAAGTACAGGAAGATGGGCACGGATGTTAGCTCAGGACCAGTCTTCCTCAGCAAAAAGAGGAGGATTGGCAGCAGTTTGCTCAGGGCTAATCTTTCTCAAAAAGAAAAAAAAATTTTCATTTTCCCTCTTTACCCAAAAATCTGTAATGATGGAACGCAGCAATAACTTTAGTTCTATTAATATTTGGGAGCTTATAATTTAAGAAAAGAAATATATCAACAGAACAATACTAACCTAAAATAAGAAAGGCTATGAAATACCAAAGGTGTTTCTTTCTTTTTTTTTTTATTGAGTTATTGATAGGTTACAATCTTGTGAAATTTCAATTGTACATTAATGTTTGTCAGTCATGTTGTAGGTGCACCACTTCACCCTTTGTGCCCACCCCCCCACCCCACCTTTCCCCTGGTATCCACTAAACTGTTCTTAGTCCATAATTTTAAATTTCTCATATGAGTGGAGTCATACACAGATTATCTTTCTCTCGCTGGCTTATTTCACTTAACATAATTCTCTCAAAGTCCATCCATGTTATTGCAAATGGAATGATTTTGTTCTGTTTTGCAGCTGAGTAGTATTCCATTGTATATATGTACCACATCTTCTTTATCCATTCGTCTGTTGCTGGACACTTAGGTTGCTTCCACGTCTTGGCTATTGTAAACAGTGCTGCAATAAACATTGGGGTGCACAGGACTTTTGGGATTGCTGACTTCAAGCTCTTTGGATAAATACCCAGTAGTGGGATGGCTGGATCGTATGGTAGCTCTATTTTTAATTTTTTGAGGAATCTCCATACTGTTTTCCACAGTGGCTGCACCAGTTTGCATTCCCACCAGCAGTGTATGAGGGTTCCTTTTTCTCCACAACCTCTCCAACATTTGTTGCTATTAGTTTTAGATACTTTTGTCATTCTAACGGGTGTAGGTGATATCTTAGTGTAGTTTTGATTTGCATATCCCTGATGATCAGCGATGATGAACATCTTTTCATGTGCCTATTGGCCATCAGTATATCTTCTTTGGAGAAATGTCTGTTCATGTCTCCAGCCCATTTTTCGATTGGGTTGTTTGATGTTTTGTTGTTGAGTTGTGAGAGTTCTTTATATATTATGGATATTAAGCCTTTGTCAGATATATGACTTGCAAATATTTTTTCCCAGTTAGTGGGTTGTTTTTTTGTTTCAATCCTGTTTTCATTTGCCTCGAAGAAGCTCTTTAATCTGATGAAGTCCCATTTGTTTATTCTTTCTATTGTTTCCCTTCTCTGAGAAGGCATGGTGTCCAAAAAGATCCTTTTAATACTGATGTCAGAGTGTACTGCCTATGTTTTCTTCCAGAAGCCTTATGGTTTCAGGTCTCACCTTTAGGTCTTTAATCCATTTTGAGTTTATTTTGGTGAATGGTGAAAAAGAATGGTCAATTTTCATTCTTTTACATGTGGCTTTCCAGTTTTCCCAGCACCATTTGTTGAAGAGACTTTCTTTTCTCCATTGTATGCCCTCAGCTCCTTTGTCAAAGATAAGCTGTTCATAGATGTGTGGTTTTATTTCTTGGCTTTCAGTTCTGTTCCATTGATCTGTGCACCTGTTTTTGTACCAGTACCATGCTGTTTTGATTACTGTAGCTTTGTAGTATGTTTTGAAGTCAGGGGTTGTGATGCCTCCCGTTTTGTTCTTTTTTCTCAGGATTGCTTTAGAAATTCGGGGTCTTTTGTTGCCCCATATGAATTTTAGGCTTCTTTGTTCTAATTCTGTAAAGAATGTCATTGGGATTCTGATTGGGATGGTGTTGAATCTGTAGATTGCTTTAGGTAGAGCGGACATTTTAACTATGTTTATTCTTCCAATCCACGTACATGGAATGTCTTTCCATCTCCTTATGTCGTCATCCAATTCTCTCAGAAAGGCCTTGTAATTTTCATTATATAGGTCCTTCACTTCCTTAGTTAAATTTACCCCAAGGTATTTTATTCTTTTTGTTGCGATTGTGAATGGTACTGTATTCTTGAGTTCTTTTTCTGTTGGTTCATTACTGGAGTATAGAAATGCTACTGATTTATGCAAATTGATTTTATACCCTGCAACTTTGCTGTAGTTGTTGATTACTTCTAACAGTTTTCCAATGGATTCTTTGGGGTTTTCTATATATAAGATCATGTCGTCTGCAAACAGCGAGAGTTTCACTTCTTCCCTCCCTATTTGGATTCCTTTTATTCCTTTTTCTTGCCTGATTGCTCTGGCCAGGACCTCCAGTACTATGTTGTATAAGAGTGGTGATAGAGGGCATCCTTGTCTTGTTCCTGTTTTCAGGGGGATGGGGTTCAGTTTTTGCCCATTGAGTATGATGTTGGCTATGGGTTTGTCGTATATGGCCTTTATTATGTTGAGGTAGTTTCCTTCTATGCCCATTTTGTTCCAAAGGTGTTTCTTTCTAATCAAGAAATAGCCTGATGGTTTTAGAATGAGAGGGGCAGTGTTGGCAGTGGAGCTGGTGGCAGTGCGGGGTTGTAAAAACAGGAAGTAGATGACTAAATCAGGAGCCAAATAAGAATTTATGAATTTTTCCCTTTCCTTCCCTATGCTAACACATAGGGACAGTGATGTAACAACACATGGACCAAAACATAACTTTATGAATAAGAAATTTAAAACATTAGGGATGTTAAACAATACCACCACTCAATCATATTCAAGCATATATTGAAAAAGCTCTCTCTAAGCTGAGGAATTTCAGCCGGCTCTCCCACCACTCCAGGATGGTGCTGCTGTCACGGACAAAGCACAGGGTAAACAAACCGAAGGAACCCAAATCCAGAAGCTATTCTATTGGCTGGGAGAGGGGAAAGGATTTTCACTAAGTATTCCCACCTATCACTTTCTACACTGTCCACCCTGCTATTCTGAGTTAGATTTCCTTAGAACAACCTTCATCTTAGCTCTTTCTTTTGGTCCTCATATTCCTCCTTCATCAATGGCAAGGTACTTTTTCTTATACTTTTACCCAAAAAATAAAACTTGTTAGAGATAAAGAAATACTAAAAGAATGCTTATGCACAGCTGCACAGGTTACAATTCCCATTAAATTAAGTGGTCCTTACGCATGTTCCACCCTCAATTGGCCCACTGACACCAAAAGACTACTCCATTTAGCTCTAGGGGACTGTGAGATGAGAGTTAACTCATCTTTACTCTGATGATTGACCCACTATTCCCAAGAGAGTTGTTTACACCCAAATCTTTCAAGCATTTTCTGCGGGTTCTAGAGTGCTTTCAGAGTTGTGCAAAAAAAACCCCCCAAAAACAAAGAGAGTACTTTTAAAGAGTTTGCTCTCCTTATTGGTTGATTTTATTTACCATTTCAGCTCTTTAAGTTTCTAAAATCAGTTGGTAAAGTGATCATCAATGAATGATAAAAAAGCCACTTATGTTAAAAATTTTCTGAAACTCTTTGAACTCTACTAAAATATCTATGATAGACCATGAACAAAACATTAATAGTATTCACCAAAGAATTAGTCCACAAACTAAATAAGTACTCATTATATATTCAAAATGAAGAAATATAAACAAACATTCAAAATATGCATTTTATTTACCTTAGTGGTCCACAAAGAGTGAGGCCAAAAAACCACAAGAGTGAAATGATACATCCAGAAACTGCGTGTTTAAATATTTTGATCCACTACAAACGGAGAAAAAAAATAAAAAATTTCAGTCATCTATGTTTTGCTAAATATCTCAAAATCTTAAAACAGAGAGAAAGATAATAATGGTAACGCAAGTATTTTAAAGGCTAAATAATTACATACTTTGAAATTAAATAGAAAATGTTAAGATTCCTTGACTAAATCTAGATTTGCAAGACAGTATTCTGTTTTCCATTTCTGTTGTTAGATCTTGAAATCTTTTCCTCTAGAGTACAATTTTCTGTTTTCTTTTTCATTAGTTTACTAGTTTGCTAGAATACTTAATGTTTTAATCTTTAAATTCTTTTCTATCAGGAATATACAGTGCTTTAATTATTTGAAAAGAGAGAAAAAAGATAAGACAGGGTTTAAAATATTAATCTTACTTTAAAAAACATCCTTGGTCTCTAAAACAGAGGTATTTAAATTTGTCATTTTGATAAAGAATCACGGCACTGGCTTCTAAGTTGTGGTATAAAGCAGACATGTAGTAGGTCTATCTACTCTCCAAAGAGGCGCTAATGTGAGAGGACTATGCAGAATACTGGACATTTCTGGGATGCATTTGAACCTCAGCTGCCTAAAGGGAACAATGATGCTGACAGCTAATACGTATTGCATCCTCACTGCATGCCAGGCACTATTTTAAGAACTTTACATGTATTAATTCATTTATTCCTCATAGCTCCACTAGGAGGGTATTATTATTTCCACTGTACCAGTGAGAAAATTAAGGTAGAGAAATTTAAGCAACTTGCCCAAAGTAAGAGTTAGCAAGTAGGACAGACAGAGCAGGAATTTGACTGACTCCAGAGGCCTCATTCTTAACCCCTATGCTTATCTGCCTCCCAATGACATTTGTACTAGGCTCCTGGGCACATCTCTGTCTGATTTGTAAACCTTTCAGAATAAGGATCCTGTATTTAAGAAAATAATTACAAGCATGCTTGAAAAATTTTCTACTCTTTTCTGTATTTTTAAAGATTCCATTATCTTTTTTTTTTTTTAGATTTTATTTTTTCCTTTTTTCTCCCCAAAGCCCCCCGGTGCATAGTTGTATATTCTTCGTTGTGGGTCCTTCTAGTTGTGGCATGTGGGATGCTGCCTCAGTGTGGTTTGATGAGCAGTGCCATGTCCGTGCCCAGGATTCGAACCAACGAAACACTGGGCTGCGTGCAGTGGAGTGCGCAAACTTAACCACTCGGCCACGGGGCCAGCCCCATAGAGATTCCATTATCTTCCCACTTTATAGTTTGCTGGTTTTTTTGTTTTGAGGAAGATTAGCCCTGAGCTAAGATTCTGCTGCCAATCCTCCTCTTTTTTTGCTGTGGAAGATTGGCCCTGAACTAACATCTGTGCCCATCTTCCTCTACCTTTTGTTGTTTTTTTTTTAAAGATTTTATTTTTCTTTTTTCTCCCCAAAGCCCCCGGGTACATAGTTGTGTATTTTTAGTTATGGGTCCTTCTAGTTGCGGCATGTGGGATGCTGCCTCAGCATGGCTTGATGAGTGGTGCCATGTCCGCACCCAGGATCCGAACTGGCAAAACCCCAGGGCGCCGAAGTGGAGCGTGTGAACTTAACTACTCGGCCACGGGCTGGCACCCCCATTTTCCTCTACTTTATGTGTGGGACGCCTACCATAGTATGGCTTGACAAGCAGTGCATAAGTCTGCACCTGGGATCCGAACTGGTGAACCCCAGACCGCCAAAGCAGAATGTGTGAACTAACCACTGCGCCACCAGGCCGGTCCCTCTAGTTTGCTCTTGAAGCCTCAATTCTGAAAAGACAAATCAAGAGCAGGCTAACTCTGGAAATATTCTGCTGTGCACTTAAATTATTCATAAGGTAACCCTGATCAAGGAAAGAGCATTGTCTCCTGGCCCACTGAATGGGAAGCTGCTAGGAAAAAAGGATTCTGCAAAAGAACTCACCTGGTGTTTGGTTATATTTTTCCCAGAAGAAAATGGCTTTTGAAACAAAACCATAAAAAATGCAGTCCTGTGAATATTGAATTATTAATATGTCAATATTAATCAATCATATAAAAGGTGTGATTTAAGTAAAGACACATTTTAAACAAATATACTAGAACTTGAAAAGTATGTTATCCTCTAAAGGAATTATACTGGAGAACTATATTTATTTTAATAAGGCTTCCACTGCAACATTTTGGGAATTTTTCTTTTGTAATTGCCTTAAAAATGAGTTCAAAAGCCACAAAAGGAGTCTTACTATTTTTTCATACTTTGAACTACCAAAGAAAACAATTCTTATCTTCTCCAAAATTTAGTAATAACAAATTCTGAAATAATATAAATGAAGAAAATACTAATTATATGTCCCTACCTTTCACATTCCCCAAATAAGTTATATAAAAATGCATACATACAACTCGTGCTTAAAATTTCCTCATCAAGAATCACTTTCCATAATTACTAATATTATACACACAGGAGTTTCTAACAGATTTTTGTTAACACTGAAGGTGGCCATTATCAATCTCATGGTCCAGAAAACTTTATTCAGAGAGAATTTCTTATATGCAGAATAAGGTAAACTTTATACTATATCAGGACGCTGTGCTGTGAAGGGAGCATGTAGAGAACATACCCAGCACGGTTTAATTCAGAAAATAAGGAACACCTGTGCCAAGACAAGTCTCAGGTAACATTCTGTGTCTCGAGGAAGGCCGGACTACACCAGTGGTACGGTCTGGGAATCCCTAGGGCCCCTGAGACCCTTTCAAGGGGTCTGTGAGGTCAAAACTACTTCTGTAAAAATACGAAGACAGTTATTTCTCCTTTCACTCTTATTCTCTCAGGGGCGTGGATGTGAGACGCTGCAACAGACTGAAAGCCGAAGCAGACATGAGAGTCCAGCTGTCTTCTATTAAGCCAGACAGAAGAAACTTGCAAAAACCTCATTAACACAAACTGAAGTCAAGTCTATGTTTTGGTAAGCTATTATAGCACAACAATCCTTTTTTTAAAAACAAAAAACAAAAAACAACCCAGTCTCTTCGTACCTCTAACCTCAGGTACTCTATTTTTAAAAAAATTTATCAAATACTTGTCAGAAGGAATAAATTGCACAAAATATTCTACATAAAATTTCCTAAAGATAATCAGTTAAAACAGGATTTTCAAAGAAATGAAAGAAAATTAAGGAAATAAAGAATCACACACTCACCCCAGTTTTAATATAAAAATGAACTGAACAATGTGAACTACTTTTAGGAGATCATATGATTCAAAAAGTCCCACGGCCTTCAAAAATTTACTGAAACACAGTAACACAATATATTTCATTAATCTGAAAAATAAAAACAGAAACAAGTTTCAGCGTCACTGAAATCACAAGGAACTCTGTCATCTTTGGTTTCTTCTTATTACACAAGTAACAGGCATCATTATAAAAACCATAAATATACATAAACAAAAAATGAAACAAAAAACCAAACAATTCACTATTAATGTGATAACTACTATTAACATTTTGGTATACATACTTCCAGATTCTTTTTAATGTATATAAACATATATGTATAGATACAGTCTATTAAAAAAATAAAGGCCAAACTAAGTCCTGAAAAGGCTCAGGAATCTGAAGCAGCTCAGCAAGGGCCTGGGGAGCTGAAAAGAAGAGGATCATTAGGAAGTCTTCCAGGCAGATGCCCAGATTCCTACCTAGCACAGCCAGGCAACTATGCCTCCTCAGTCAGGACAGGACACGTGAGGCTTAGCCACTGGAGCGGAGGGATGAGGTGCTGCACCAAAATCAGGAGATAAAGGAAGTTTCCCTTCTTATGCCACCCCACCTCCCTTCCCTCACTGAACTCCAATACCCTAACAGCCAGGCTTCAGTCTCCCAGTAGGAGAACCCTTCTCTGGAGAAGCCCACTAGGGGACAAGCCCCACACAGGTCTAACTAGCTTTCTGGGTGTCATTCAAATCTGAATGGCTAACCATGGATAATCAATCCTTCACGATAAGCCTATAACACGAGACCAAACAAACAAAAACAACAAAGAAATTTAAAAGATACAGAGATCATAGGGAATAGCAGAAAACAACAAAGAACTATAAATAATATTCTCTGAGGTAAGAAATAATACTGCATCCATGGAAAAATTAGGTTGTCATAAAAAGAAAGGAAAAAGGAGCTCCTGAAAGAGAAACTAGAAAATAGAGAAGAAATTATCTCAGTTTCCTAGCCCAGTAGTCTTTGATCATACCCTTCTAGTAGCAAAAGAATTTTGCACATGGAACCCATTATTTATCTGTATATTATAAACATGTACTTAGTACTGATGTTATATATACTTTATAAAACATACACAAATTAGAAATTAAAAAGAATGAGATAAAAAGCTGAGAGAGTCTAATCTTTTCCCCCACCCTAACAGATCATCTTGTACAAACCACTCAGGAGACCAATTTTTTTTTTTTTGGCGAGGAAGACTGGCCCTGAGCAAACATCTGTTGCCAATCTTCCTCTTTTGGCTTGAGGAAGACTGTCCCTGAGCTAACACCCGTGCCAATCTTCCTCTATTTTTTGTACGTGGGACGCTGCCATAGCATGGCTTGATGAGCAGTGTGTAGGTCCACACCTGGGATCTGAACCCGTGATCCCCAGGCAGCAGAAACGTAACACATGAATTCTACCACTATGCCACCAGCCAGCCCTCAAGAGGCCATTTTTAAAGCTTACATCAAACAGGTGTTAACACATTGACAAGAAGTAAGGGATGTCCAAGGACAGCACACTGGCAGGAATAAGAAGTTTCTACCAATGGGAGAAAAAATACAAAAAGCTAACAGAGAAGTTTAAGGGAAACCTGGGTCATTCAAATAGTAGAGCTAAAACAATCTGACATATAATGGAGGTATCAATGTACGCAGGACGGTATAAAAACTGATGAGCGTGAAACATCAAGTACCAAGGCACTGAATCAACAAGAAAGAACTATGTTATATTAAACAATTAGTAATCTGCTTAAAAAGACATGGAAATATCTATTTTAGCAAGAATTTGATGCAACTATTAAAATAAATTTCAGTCTCTGAAAGAATGAATCTTAGCAATTCCAACATCTTTACCATTCAAGATGGCTCACTTTCTGTTTTATGTATATATATCTGTCCAGATAAAATTACATAAATTAAAGAAAATCAGATTTGGAACAAAGCAGTTTTTCTTATCATGAATATAGACTGGGGGGCCTTTTTTAGGACTATCTGGGGATTTTAACAATGTGATAATCAATTATCAAGACACAAATGAAAACGTTATTGTGGACTAATGGAAGTCACATCCTAAAAGACAGAACTTCCTATTTAACCCACCTCTAACAGTATAAACTTCATTACATGTTTTTTTTTTTTTAAAGATTTTATTTTATTTTGTTCCCCAAAGCCCCCCAGTACACAGCTGTACATTCCTAGTTGTGGTCCCCTCTAGTTGTGGTATGCAGGACGCTGCCCCAGGGTGGCTTGAGGAGCGGTGCCATGTCCGCGCCCAGGATTCAACCTGACAAAACCCTGGGCCACCTGCAGCAGAGCACGCAAACTTAACCATTCCGCCATGGGGCCGGCCCCACATGTTCTGTTTTTTGAGGAGGATTAGCCCTGAGTTGATATCTGCCACCAATCCTCCTCTTTTTTGCTGAGGAAGACTGGCCCTGAGCTAACATCCGTTCCCATCTTCCTTTACATTATATGTGGGACGCCTGCCACAGCACAACTTGACAAGCAGTATGTAGGTCTGCACCCAGGATCCGAACTGGTGAACCCTGGGCTGCAGGACGTGGGAACTTAACCACTGAGCCACCAGGCCAGCCCTGCATTTTCTGATTAAAAGATCAAGGAGATTTTCTGGGGTGATGAAAATGTCCTATAGCTTGATTGTGCTGAAAGTTATAAGGGCACGTGTTTGTGAAAAATGCAAACTGGTACCTTTAAAATCTATGCATTTTACTGGATGTAAATGATATCTCAATGAAAAAAGAACGATAAAAAACTTAAAAGTATGGCTATAACAAGAAAAAAAATCAAGTGTATTTTGTTTCTAGGTTGTTTGCAGACTGGCTAAAAACACGAACTACAACATGGAAAATCTACCAAATCCCTACTAACTGTCTAGGTACGAAAGCAAAGGTATGTGTGCTAGAAAAAATTGAACGCTAACGTTTAAAAGCTGAAAAACACCTTAGAGATTCTCTAGCCCAATTCCTCTCATGTCACAAATTGGGAAGTGGAAGCCCAGACTTAACCAGGGGCAAGCCCATGTCTCTTAAGTATGCTCTTTTTAACGTCATACAGAAAATCAAAGTTCAGCCAAAAGGTTTTGAGGGTTCCTATTTTCTAAACTGTTCCCAATTATACATTCACATTGGCCCACATGAACAGTAAAATTATTTTTAAATATGAAAGACAGAATGCTTATTAAAACCTAGGATTTAGATTTTGGCCCATTTTAAGCTAAAAAACTCATATAGACTTAAGAACATTAACTATATTAATGCTAATTAAACATTCTGGTCATGGTAGCAATTCAAAATTAGCCAATAACACTAGGTAGAAATCCTTTGTTTATTCAGTTCCTAACACTGGGACTTTCATAATATATGCTCAGCAAATGTTTACCAAAGGAAAGAAAGTTAACTCCACAATTTCACTTGTGATACAGTCACGTCTAGTACGACAACTTACAGAGTGCAGTAATGGACTCACAGATGGCAGTCAAGTTTCCGGCAATTTAAACTATGAGCAACCCCACTATGAATTCAGAATGAAAGGAAAGAATGAAATCAAGCACAGAGGGAAGTTCAGATCTCAAGTGCCTTCCTCCTTAAGCTCTTAACTAGGTGTGAAAATAAGGCAGCAGGACAGAAGGACACAAAGAATAACAATACTGTCAATGAGAAAGGGGTTGTGGGGAGACAAAGACTAGGGAAAATAGACATAGGTACATTAAAAATCACTGCAGTCCAGGGGCCAGCCCCTCGGCCGAGTGGTTAAAGTTCTGTGACGCCCGCTTCGGCAGCCTGGCGTTCGAGGGTTCAGATCCTGGGTGTGGACCTGTTCCACTCATCAGCCATGCTGTGGAGGCATCCCACATACAGAGCAGAGGAAGACTGGCACAGATGTTAGCTCAGGGCAAATCTTCCTCAAGCAAAAAAAGAGGAGGATTGGCAATGGATGTTAGCTCAGGGCAAATCTTCCTCACAAATAAATAAATAAATAAATTTAAAAAATCACAGCAGTCTGGGAATTCTTGATGTCAGCAAAGAGCCTTGTACATCCACCATGGGGCTATTTAGCCACTCTCCAAATATTCCTTGCTCACTTACTATGTGCCAGATGTCAATGAGACCTAAGAGAAGTCTACCAGGGTGGCTTCTGTCATGATAAAAAGGCAAGATGCAGCTGGAACTACTTCCACCTTCTTTCTGCTTTCAAGGGAGGACTTCAATCTAAAATTTATCCAAAAAATGTTATCGAGATGTTTACATTATTTAAAAAAGTTATCCATGTTATAACAAGCCTGAATATGAAAGCCAATACGCTTAGGATGGCAAAGAGCAAAGACAGAATCTGGGTCCTAGATGGCGTAACTGAACAAACACCAGCAAGCTCTGGTTTCTTTTATGTGAGAATACATCCCTATTTGTTTAAAGCCCTCTTAGCTTGGTTCCTTACAACTAACTAAACACACTTCTAGGCAATATCCAAGCCACTAAATGCGTAACAGAGACCCTGACCTCAAGGAGATTGAGGTCTAAAAAAGGCAGGCAAGTAAACAAATGTTTATGTGACCCAGGTAAGTAATTGTTCTAAGAGAATGGACTAGAAGATACTAAGCGTAACTAGGGAAGAGAAGGTCATCTTCAGAGTTTGAGCTATGTGTGTATTAAAATAGAAATTACAAGGCAAGAAAAGGGAAAGGGTTTTTCAAAGTAACAGAGAGCAGCACATACAGAACACTAGTACTACGAAGGAGCCTTTGAAGAAATTACTGTATTTAAGCTCGGGTCACAGACGATGCTCATAATGACCAGAAGTCACCAAGGAAAAAGTAAATTGTATTTAATACACTCATTTTAAGAAGACAGGGCAACATGTAAAATTATTTCTAAATAGTTTTGTTTAAAGCATTTACAAAATCATAAAAATCTGACACTTTAATAGCAGGATTTAGTCACATGGAACATGAAATATTTCTTGATAATATATTACTATTACGATCTGACACTAATTTTCTTTATTCTCTTTTTAATTTTTAAAAAACAGATTACAAAAATAACTCCTGAGTAGCTGGTTATTACAAAAGTTTTAAATAAAGTCATTACCAATTTCTTCCTCACAGGTGACCAACTGGGTACATCCTTCCAAACGTTTCCCTTTGCATCTCCATGTATGGACACACATATACTTTAGACACTTTCACATATTCACAAGTTTACCCATATTTAGACAATACTATGTGACTTTTCATGTAACATATGTTAAAGATCTTTTGTTACCATTATTAAATTAGGAAAATTATTTTAACATTTAATTTTAAAGTTGGATACTTTGATTTTTAAAGTCTCAATTAATGAAGTCTTCCTTTTGGGCTAAAGAGGAAACACTAGCTAAGGCCAGGTAACCATATACTAATAAGTAGACATTCCTAGTTCACGTTGTGGAGGGAAACAACGAAGAGCTTCCTTTACTAAGGGGGAGAGATGGGGCACAAGGAGAAGGAGGCTCTTAAACAGGGGCAGCAGCCCTTGAGCCACTGGCTGACCCTCTGAGCAACTCAGGGGGATCCAATCCACACTCCAACTTATAAATCATTATTTACCATTAACTAGTCTCATCAAAGGTATCACTGGTTTTTTCTGTTAAGGGTTAGAAAAGTCTCCGGTTCTCTAAACCTGCAAGTACTGAAATTTGGGTTTGCATTCAAAACTGTTTCTTGCGCTTTGCCCGCTGCAACAGTTGACAGTTCTTCAGTTAAAAAACAAAAGCACTGTGTGTAATTCAAGTTCGATTCAATCAATAAATATCCGAGTGTCTACTACGTAGAAGGCACTATGCCTGGGGTTTAGGATAACTGATTCCCAGTTATTAGTTGCGTGATCTTTGGAAAATTACTTAACTTTTCTACGTCTCAGTTTCCTAATCAAGGAGACCACTACTTGGCCTGGAGCGCTGTTGTAAGAACTAAGTGACGGCTATACTCAAAGCACTTGGAACACAGGAGGAGGTACTCAACAAATGCTGACTGTCACCCTCTGCCCTTTCCTGCAAAGAGGACTTATAGAAGCCAAAACAGAAACATGTAAAACAATTCACATTTGCAAATTCAGGCATAAACATATCCACAATTAAACGATTTGTCAATTAGCTTTTGTTTCAGATTATGACCAGTGGTTGACTTTTAGTCTATACAAAGGAAAATTCTTGCGACCTGGAATCCATTCAAAATCCAACCAGTCCTGAGTTGAATGTGACTCTGCAATGAACTACAACAGAAGGGCAGCTCTGCTAAGCAAATAATGCCAGACAGACGGGAAAGGACTGTTCACCACGTCTACCGAAGACAACAAGCTCTCGAGCAAAGAATTTTAAACTATTTAAAAATAACTTCAAGTTTACAGAAAAATTGCAGCAATAGTATAACCTTTACCTAGACTCCCTAATTGTTAATGTATTGTCCCATTTGCCTTATTCTCTCTCCACATAGACTTTTCTCCTAAACTATTTAAGTTATATACATCATGTTCCTTTACCCCTAAATACTTGCATTTCCCAAGACCACGGACATTCTCGTATAAAATCAGTAGTTATCAACTTCAGGAAATTTAACAGATATGATACCTTCATGTAATCTATCATCCACAGTCCAATTTTGTCAGTGGACCTAGTACTGGCCTTTATAGCATTTTCCCCTTTACTATCAAATCCTGATGAGCATCGCCTATTGCATTTAGCTGTCATGTCTCAGTAAATAATTTCGGACATGCTGTTATTTACAAAATAAGTTTCTCGAAACAGATTAGAAAATTGAATTTATACTACAAAAATGCAGCTGATTTAAGGTCGGCTCCAGCATTTTATATGTTCTTTACTTTTCACAAAAAATAGTTATGTTAGTAATGCCACCGCTACAGTTCCAATGAATTTATCAAAACGATCTTTAAGTCTCAAAAGAAGTAATCAAGAATGAGAACTACCACCTCACTAAAAAAGAAGGCAATGATTGCGAGTTCCAACCAAACTGCTGGGCCATATTTTATGCCCTTTGAAACAACCTGAGAACTTGGAGCAGGTCACGAAACACACCCTTGAAAGTGGTCGCTGTGCTGCCTCTTGGGGGTCAGCGGGAGCAACGGGGGGAGGGGGCAAAGGGTAAATTTCACTTTCTACTCTATGGATGCCTGTACTGCTTGAATGTTCTGACAATGAGCACACATTTGTTATTTAACGATAAAATAAACTAAAATAAACCAAACGAGTTAAAACTAGATGACGGGCTGGATTCTTCACGTGCAGGGTTAACCTGAACAGTGAAGTTCATCTGTTTGGATTTTTTTCTCCGCCCGAAAAGAGGACGGTGACACCTCCCCCTAACTTAGGCAGGGAGACGTCAGAGCGGTTAAGCGGTCACTAAACTACTATTTCAGGGAGAAACAGCCTCTGCTTCTCACGGATTAGAAAAACCTGTCACGGGAACCGGCTGGCAGTTCTAGGGGTAACGTCTGCCTCGAAACCCAGAAACTCAAGCAGAAGCTTCCTGGATTTCACAGCATTCATTCCGCGGCGGCAACGCCGGGGCCGACAGGAGCCGGAGCAGCCTGGAAGCGAGCGAGCGAGCCCGGCGGGCGCGGGCCCGGGGCGGACGCCGATGCCCGCGCGCACCCGCCCAGCTGGCCGCTGCCGTCCGGGTGTGCGAGGGAGCGAGCCGGCGACGGGAGAGCGGCTCCGCAGGCCGAAGCCGGGTCGGTGCCTTACCGAGCGCTGGGCACGTCCACCGGCCCGAGGCCGCCGCCGCCGCCGCCGGGGCCGGCCAGCACGTCCCCACCGTATTTCTCCTCCATGCCGGGGCTCAGGAGCCGCCGCCGCTGCCCCCGCCGCGGGGTCTCCTCATGTCTCGCCGCGGCCGCGGAACAGCGGGCGCAGGCGCGTCACTCCCCCATGGCAGCGGCCCCGTCAGGTCCCCGCGGGCCAGACCGCCGCCGCCGCCGCCGCCGCTGTCCCCGGCTCCCGCTAACGAGCTCACGCGCGTCGGGACTAGGCCGCGGGCAGTTCCGGCGGCGCCTGGTTTCCCGGAGGCGCCCCGGAGCAGACGTTGCCAGGCCACGTCATCGGGCCCAGCAGCCCTCAGTTCCCGGGGGAGTGCCCAGCCTGCGCCTGCGCACAACGCCGCACTCGCCACCCTGTGCCCTTCCCTAGTTCCTCCCACCGTGGGGTGAAGGATCGAATCCTCGCCCCGATCAGCCCCTCCCATTGACCCGGCCAGAGCTCGTAGTGCCTGCCCCTGCAGCGCCACCTACGGGCCGTCAGGGACGCAGCGCGTTCTTGTAGCGCGGAGGGAGGGGCCGTAGAAAATGTGATTAAATGGAGCAGAATCTCTTTTAAATTCTGACTGCTGACCTGTGCTACTTCATTATGGCACATCTGTAAAACCAGGCCGGGTAGGACCAGCCCTTAAAAGGGTGGTTTTTTTGTTGCTAAAAAGTTAAGAAAGTGGGCTCTTGTGTCTGTCTTGGTGTGAATCCCAACTCTACCACTAACTAGTTGTGTCACCGGGCCTTTCTGTACCTCAAGTTTCTTATCTGTGAAACAGGAATAGTAATATCTATATCATAGGATTGATGGGAGGACTGTACGTGTTAATACGTGACGAGCGTCTAGAACAGTGACTGGTATACGGTAATCAGTAAATGTTGGCTATTAGTATAGCTCATAGGGAAATTGGAGGACTGCGATTTGGAGATGAAAATGGAGTTTTGAGCAGTGTAAATTATGATTAGATTACAATACTCTACTTAATTTGAATATGCCTAAAGAGTCAGTAACATATAAAAGAATGAGGAATCACAGCCTCTGCCTGCTGGGGTTTCATAATCTATTGTGGAAAATATTTAGCAGTTTGAGAGGAAGCCCTGGTTGGCAACATTACCGGTTGAAGGCACACGTGCTAAAGTTTTCCAAATAAGGTGTGGTATAAGTATAACCAGAAAAGGCTCACTGATAGACAGAGCCTGACCTGGAACTTAGACAAGGTTTTGGATATGGCAGAAAGGCATTGTGGGAAGATGCATCCTATGTGTAGAATACAGAGGAAGGCATGACCATTAAAAACTAAAGACATATTTTCCTATTTGAGGCTATGAAAATTAATAAAGGGAAACCTCATTTAAACTGGAGTCGGGAGGCCAGAAGTGGGAGCCCTTAAGCACTACCTCTGGATGTTAATTACAGGAAGCATCCTGAATTATAGACCCCAACAGGAAGAGACCTAGGGTGCATCCCCCCCACCCAAGAAACAGACGACCCCGGCAACTCAGCCAATGAGAAAGCATCACCTCCCTGAAGTCTCACTTTCCACCAACTGGACTTTTGTTCAAAACAATCCCTCACAACTTCCTCCTTTTTCTCTGTAAAATAACGTTCCTCTCTGTAAAATAACATTTTTCTCCTATGCTTGTAGGACTTGTCTGTGACTTTTGCTATAGCTTGCTTGTCCCGGTTTGCAATTCCTTTGCTGTTTCCAAATAAACTCGTTTTGCTGGTAAAATAACTGGCTGTTTTATTTTTAGGACAGCAAGGCAAATAAGAGAGCAAAGATACAGTACTCCCTCAATCATATTGGGGTTTTATTTATTTTTTTTAAAGACTGGCCCTGAGCTAACATCTGTTGCCAATCTTTTTCATTTCTTCTTCTCCCCAAAGCCCCCAAGTACATAGTTGTGTATTCTAGTTGTAGATCCTTCTAGTTCTACGATGTGGGACGCTGCTTCCTTGATGAGCAGTGCTAGGTCTGCACCCAGGATCCAAACAAGCAAAACCGCCGGGCTGCTGAAGCAGAGTGTGTGAACTTAACTACTGGGCCACAGGGCCAGCCCATATTAGCGTTTTAAATTCAGCATGTTTCATAGCATTATGTTCGTTTATTTAGTTTGTACAAAATGTCCATATGTTTTGCCTGCATCAGGTGATAATCATTGGCCCAGAGTTGGGTGGATTGGGTATAAGGCCCAGCAAAGAGTGACATTCTTGCTTCACTTCCTCTAAGTGCCTTTTTTCTAGCAATTTTTTTGGGTAGCAATTTCTTTGTAGAATTGCTATTTTCTAATCAGAATGGCAGTGGGGAACAACTGTTGTGTCTTTCTACAGCTAGTTCTAGTCCTTTGGAGCTCAGAGAACTAGGTAAAATGACCTGTATAATCAAGATTAACTTTCATCCCAAGTGGAACTTGGAATTCAGTTGGTGTTTCTGATTAGGTTAGAATTGCAATACTTTTCTTTTAGGCCAATAGAAGTAGATTTCCTACAATTGTTTTTTGCCGTGGAACCCTAATTATCTAAAGGAATGATTAGCAAGATGCAAATGAGGAGACGGAGAGAAATGGTTCATATTTAGACATTCTCAACTAGAAGATCAGAATTTTACAGCAGATCTTGAAGTTTCATTATAATTATGCCCCAAGTTTTTCAAGAATTTATCCTTCCATTCATCCACTCAATAGTCAAAAATGTAATATTTATTAACGGCCTACTATGTGCTAGTACCAACTATATGCTACAGTAGAGAAAATATGGTGTTACCTTTCTTCTCAAATTGATTAGAAATTCAACTGGTAGAAACACACTGTGGAAAACAAACTGAAAAGCAGAAAAATTTTGGAAACAATTCTCTATGAGTGTCTTGTGTTTCTGCATGTCTTTTGAACAGAGGCATTTACAGCTGTTGTTCCAGACTGTTTTCAAGGATGTTTGTAGAGCAAACAGCCTTGGAAGATTAAGATGGTATCTTTCTCTTGGGCAGAGGGAAGATTTGTTGGCTGATCAGGATAATAAAGATGATGCCTCCTTTTAAGGCAAATCCTGGGCAGGTTTGCTGGCTGCCCTTTAAAAGACTCGAGTTTCCTAAACTCTCAGTTGTATGCTAAGTATTTACCTAGGCTGCCATGAATTACCGTCGTGGGATTTGGGAGTGGGAGAGGCAAGGTGAAGTGTTGCAAATGTGAGGCTCATGCGGCCAGCATGAGTAACAAAATCCTTTGTCTCTGATCCAAGAGTCTTGTGCCTTCTGATAGCTTCCAAGAAACTGGGAGGCTAATTGTGAGCTTGCATCAGGGTAAAATCTTAGTCCCTTTACATTTTTTTGTTTTTGTACCCCTTGGTTTCCCATTTAATTCATCTGTCTGTATAGTTTTATTTTTTCACTGAGGTAACTGTTTTATAACATATAAATTTCAGGTGTACATCATTATATTTCAATTTCTGTGTAGACTACATCATGTTCACCACCCAAAGACTAATTACCATCCATCACCATACACGTGTGCCCAGTTACCTCTTTCGCCCTGCTCCCTCTATCCTTCCCCTCTGGTAACCACCAATCTAATCTCTGTATCTATGTGTTTGTTTGTTTGTTGTATTTCTTTTTTTTTAAATTGAGGTTATGATAGTTTACAACATTGTGAAATTTCAGTTGTACATTATTATTTGTCAGTCATATTATAGGTGTACCCTTTCACCCTTTGTGGCCACCCCCAACCCCTCCTCCCCCTGGTAACCACTAATCTGTTCTCTTTGTCTATGTGTTTGTTTATCTTCCAGATATGAGTGGAGTCATACAGAGTTTGTCTTTCTGTATCTGGCTTATTTTGCTTGACATAATACCCTCAAGCTCCATCCACGTTGTTGTGAATGGGATGATTTTATCATTTTTTTATGGCTGAGTAATATTCCTTTGTATATGTATATGATTTCTTTATCCAGTCATCAGTTAATGGGCACTTGGATTGCTTCCACATCTTGGCTATTGTGAATAATGCTGCAAAGAACATAGGGGTGCATAAGTCTCTTTGAATTGCTGATTTCAAGTTCTTTGGATAGATACCCAGTGGAGGGATGTCTGGGTCATATGGTATTTCTATTTTTACTCATTGAGTATGATGTTGGCTGTGGGTTTGTCATGTATGGCCTTTATATGTTAAGGTACTTTCCTTCTATATGCATTTTATTGAGAGTTTTTATCATACATTGATGTTGGATCTTGTTGAACGCTTTCTCTGTGTCTATTAAGATGATCATGTGGTATTTGTTCCTCATTTTGTTAATGTGGTGTATCACATTAATTGACTTGTGGATGTTGAGCCATCCCTGTGTCCCTGGTATAAATCCCACTTGATCATGGTGTATGATCTTTTTAATATATTGCTGTATTCAGTTTGCCAATATTTTGTTGAGGATTTTTGTATCTATGTTCATCAGTAATGTTGGCCTGTAGTTTTCCTTCTCTGTGTTCTTCTTGTCTGGTTTTTGTATCAGGGTCATGCTGGCCTCATAGAATGTGTTAGGAAGTGCTCCGTCTTCATCAGTTTTCTGGAATAGTTTGAGAAGGATAGGTATTAAATCTTCTTTGAATGTTTGGTAGAATTCTCCAGAGAAGCCATCTGGTCCTGAACTTTTATTTTGGGGGAGGTTTTTGATTACTGTTTCAATCTCTTTACTTGTGATTGGTCTATTCAGATTCTCTATTTCTTCTTGATTCAGTTTTGGGAGGTTGTAAGAGTCTAAGAATTTGTCCATTTCTTCTAGGTTGTCCAATTTGATGACATACAGTTTTTCATAGTATTCTCTTGTAATTTTTGTGTTTCTGTGGTATCTGTTGTAATTTAACCTCTTTAATTTCTGATTCTATTTATTTGAACCTTCTGTCTTTTTTTCTTAGTGAGCCTGACTAAGGGTTTGTCAATTTTGTTTCTTTTCTCAAAGAACCAGCTCTTTGTTTCATTGATCCTTTCTACTGTCTTTTTTGTTTTAATTTCATTTATTTCTGCTCCAATTTTTATTATTTCCCTCCTTGTTCTGACTTTGGGCTTTGTTTATTCTTTTTCTAATTCTGTTAGGTATGGTTTGAGATTGCTTATTTCAGGTTTTTCTTGTTTACTGAGGTGAGCCTGTTTTGCAATGGATTTCCCTCTTAGGACTACTTTTGCTGCATCCCAAAGGAGTTGGTATGATGTGTTTTCATTTTCATTTGTCTCCAGATAATGTTTGATTTCTCCTTTAATTTCTTCAATGATCCATTGG